GGCTTGGTCAAGGAGGCGTTGTCGTGTCGCCAGATCGCCTTCAGGATGCAGCAGGTGTTCCAATTCCTGCTGCGCGGTTGTCGAATGTCTCATGGCATCCTTTTGGTGAAGACGTTGTCTTGTGCGGCACGCTGCACGCTTAGTGCCTAAATCTAGGCTATATTTATACACGAGCCCCTGGTTGAGTTTCAGATGTCCCTTTCTTCTTCTCAGCATGTTTCTTAGAAGCCCTCCTTGCTTACCTTGTCCACTCACCCCAAACTCCCATCTGTCCTTACAATCTTATACTATCATAATTCCTGCTACCATTCACTGGCTCATTGGGCTAGAATGCCACCGAGTATGATATGGATATTATGGCGGCAATATCTTGCAGAAATTTCTCTTCCTCTTTCTCATTGCCAAGCGTGCAGGATGTTGAGTACATACGCCTCAAACATGACCTATCAACTTGACTTCCAAGGTCCGAAGCGGGCAGTAGGCAATCCCAGTGACCACAAAAGCTGATTCAAAGCCCAGGTCACCAATTCGCTCCCCAATGGGCCCAGTGAACCACGGCGTGTCCATTGACGGGACCACCAACCCAAGACTGACCAAAGATGCTCCAATAGCCGCCAGTCCAGTTGGAAGCCGCCGTGCTTGATTCCATGTCTCGGGGTCGTAAGAACGGTAGTCCATGTTTCGAAAGAGCAGAAGTTCTTCAATGAGAATGGCGTCAAAGCATCCCGCCCAATAACCAATCACAGACAGAAAGTTAACAAGGGACTCCTCCCATTTAGCAGCCGCATAGATCGACATGGGAATCATGATGGCCAGCGTTGCGATGATGAACAAGAAGCGTGGCACCTTGGAAAATGCAGGAACAAGCATCTGCAAACACAAGGCGACTGAATAATTGGACAGCACCATGTTACCAACAACACTCAAAGCGAGAACGATAAGAACAAACTTTCCAAACCCCCCTGCTGGTGCGAGCATTTCAGCCATGACGCCACCGATTCCATAATTGTCCCAAGCCGTTTGCCATGATTCGACATTAGGGAGAGCACCACCGATGGCAGCTCCAAGAATGAGCAGAGGCGTCGATGGAGTGATAAGTCCCAGATACACGTATGTGAAGATCTTGAGCCTGCGAATTGGGTGAGGGTCGTCAGCTTTGATTATCACAACACAATATAGACAAATCCTTACTTGGATGATTTTGGGTCGTGATAGACGGTGAAATCGGAGACAGTCCCGCCAAATGTCATGAAATATCCTGCCATTAGACTGCCATATCCGATGACACTTTTCACGGATGCCGGGTCATGGTCAGCCTGGTTCATCAGATGCTTCCCGCCACAGCCAATGGCTATGACAATGGCAACCAAGTTCGGTAACCATTGCCACCGTTGCCAGACGTGGACCGCTCGATATCCTAGGAACGCGAGACAAAAGCTGAGAGTGCAAACGATGCCGATGCCTACGTTTACACTTATGTTGGCCTTTTCATTCACAGCTGCGATGGCCTGTCCGCTCACTATAGACCCCACAAGCGTAAACCCTGTTACCGTTCCAGCGTTGAGCAGGATGGGAATGATTCCAAGATAGAGCCTGGCAAATAGAAATGTCAGCAATCGACTTGCAATGATAGATGAACCCGAGAAACGGACCCAAAGGAATATCGAGCCTGTATCATTTGTCTCATCCCGGTCTTGCATCCTCCGATACTGATAACAGCCGGGGGGATGCACGTTACAATGTTGAAAAAGATGATTATCAACGACACGTCTCGCAATCCTAGTCTGTATACAGCTGTGCCGAGAGCACCAGTTGGCAACCTGAGATGTCATCAGCCTATGCCATCATCGGTAAGTTGTATTATGCCACAAACTCACGGTAGAATACACAACAGACATGTGAAGAACACAGTAAAAAGGTTGCTGTGCTGCGTTTGGGTCCTTTCCTCGATGGGCACTGGCCGAATCCCATTCTCCTCAACACCAGCATCAAGCACTCTCCTGTACCACCTCGACAATAAACCAGACTTTGCATTCCCAGCAGTCGAGACACTGGCACTTTCTCCATTTTCGGTATTGTTTCTGGCGTGATCGGATGATTGGAGCCCATTGTTGGCTTCCAAATCCTTGAGAACTGCCATTGCGATGCCAGCGATCAGTAGTGCAAAGCCTGAGGTTTGCTGGACGTGCAAAGAAGGATGTAAGTCTCTGATAAAGCTTAGCTTGTTCTAGGACCATGTTATGTCAAGCCTGACCTCAAGATAATGAAGAACCGTGTACCTCTTGCATGCGCTGCTCGAGTCTGTTGCCTCCTGCAGTCTACAAAGTTCGACAGCCGTTCTACAATAGGCTCAATGAGAGTCTCTAGACGCTATGATCCTTTCGTTGCAGTTGACCTGGTCACAGCCATCAGCCAATAATCCTGGGAAGCCAAGATTACACCATCAAGAAGTGCAATCGGATGTGGAACCGGATTTTGTGACTTTGTTCCCAACTGATGCGTCACAATAAAGAGTAGCTTGCTGGGATATTTGTTGGTGTCTAGAAGTTGACTGCAGTGTGCTTGTTCTAAGCAACACAACAACCATGTTTTCTGGGGCTGAACCGAACCAACTTGGCTGATACATCACTGTACTTACGGTTGAGGTGTGGTGTGTTTCTCGGTTGGTTCGAGCGGCTACCCAGATAGACCCATGACAACGACTAGCTGCGGCATGTGCTGCTTTTCACTCACATGCTCATCAAAGTCAGCCATGAAGATTCCTCTGCTTGCATAAGGGCAGGGACTGAACCAACACCGAAATGGCCTGAAACCTTGACTATCATGATTCTGGTCTAATGCAGATGAAGGTGCGGCACGGCGGCCCGCGTCCAAGATCCAAGCTAAATCATTGCGGGACTGTCTGTGATGAAACATGGACATTAAACACTCGCAAGAATCTTGATAGATACAACATTACATTATGGAGACATCGCCTTGGTTTTTCTTTATATACCTGCGACTCGTATGAAATGCCAATAATTCGTTACAGGGCGGGTCAACGTCGTATAAATACGGATCAAGGACAACGCTATCTCTGCCAAAAGCCCGCGGGCTTTTGACAGCAACCACTGAGGCTTTTCAGTACTACACAATACAGTATGTTTATGCAGCTAGCGGGGATAGAGTGGACATGTAGAATGTTTGCTTGATCCCTGTTGCGTCGATGCAACATAATGCGAAAGAAGATGCAGCTTTCACATCCTTCACCCAAATTTCATGACAAGGGCTGGTCCTAGAACGCGCCATTTAGGCCGAAGTCCTGCCTTTATTTAGTGGTGATGGGTGAATCCCAAGCGAGGCATGACAATCGCCATTGCAAGGATTCTTTTGAGGAGCCAAGCAAAGATGTCACATATCGCTGGTGTCTTGCCTCTTGGCTAGCTTATTATCTCCATCCACTATACATGTTGTTAACACGAACAAGCATGGTTTTTTTGCAATAGTGTAGGAATGGGGCGTCAGTGAGTGGTCCCTCTTGCTGCACTAAGTCGACAACGAGTCGTGACCACAGAGCTGACTGAGATGCGTATTACATACTGCCTCGATGATCCTGCGTTTTGACTCGACTACCAACGAGCTGGGCTGAGGTAACACAACACAAGCGAATGACTCTGCCAAGATGCCCCACCTCGACAAGGGTCTCACAAGATTCTCTCAAGAGCCAATTGGGGGGCCCTTCTTGAGCAACAGGGTCCTGTGGATCGGCTAAAATAGACTACTAGTCTTGGAGAGCTCGCGTTAGCCATGGTGACCTCTGCGGTCTGCTTTAAGCATCTTCATTGCAGAGGATGGGTAAGGGTGAAGTTAGCCAATCCAATGGGAAGAGAGCCAGCATTATCACATACTATGATGTGCTGAGCAAGGGAAAGTAAAGGGCAATTCCAGGAATGGCAAAAGTTTGTGACTTGGTTGGTGGCTATCAATAGACGCAACCCGGTATCTACCGGCGTCATGTTGAAGTGAAAGAGCGTAATATCTGCACTTGGTTTCTAATATTGATGAGTACAGGAGTACCTGTCCTGCTTACGTACAGCATATGAGGATTCGCCGGCCATCGCAAGACACACTGAGCATGACTTACTTGATATGGTATACCTGATTCAACATGTTACAGTACTCTTCCAAGCTGTTAGGAGGGATAGCTGGTCGCTATCCCTAGTCGCTGTTGACAAGTGCCTCAGCTGCGAGACTTCGCGGTTTGATGACACAGTCAAAGTGCTCAGGGTGACTTGCAGCAAATACCATTGTCAGCCATGTGTCAACCACATTATCAAGTACTTATGTGCATGCTTCCAGTTTGACAAGGGTACAAAGATATCGAGGGGCAGTGGGGATAGCTAAAGACAAGGGGAGTCAACATACCAGGTTCCTCCATTGGTGAATCGGACTCGGGGCTCAATGGGCTTCCCGTCTGAAGACATCTTCTTACAAAATCGAAGTGCGGACAACATCGTTGCTACCATGATCCAGACACTATTGTCAGCCAGAAACCGACCGACACAGACTCTAGTAGTGGTTAGTTCGTTCTTGATTTCAAAAGCCGTGACCCGAGTCTCAGTTGGGGTTGGCCCGTCACGTACCGGCGCCCAAATCCAAAATTGCCAACAGGAAACGGTTCTCCAGCTTCATATCTGTCGGGGTTGAACACGTGGGGGTTTTTGTAGACCCGCTCATCATGAGCCATCGCATAAGCGTTGGCATAGACCACAGTCCTGGCACTTATCAGATACCCTCCCCACCTTATAACATCACTATGATGACAGCATCGTAAGAGAGTATCTTACCCTGTAAACCATCAGTTGACTTGCACGAGCAGCAACGGGGACTTTTGCCTCGGATATACCTTTAGGAATGAGCATGCCCTTGTAGATATCATCATGGAGCGACTTATGTGGGATCCCTGCCGCGCATTAGTAGCCATTACAAGGTTTCTTCATTGCCAACCATGAACAACTTACCTAGAGGAGCCAGTGGCGACCAGCTTTGTGAAGATGCCTGTTAATTTATATTTAGTGCTAGTGGTTGGTTAAATGGCGCGCACCGATAAATCTCCTGGACAATATGTTCGATATAAACCAAAGCGGGCCGGTCCGAGAAGTCGGGAAGTCTATTAGACCCAATCACCGCATCAAGCTCTTGCTGTGCCTTCACCTGTATTTCCGGGTGAAGAACCATGTTGAGAATAAAGATTACGCATGTAGCCCATGTCTGGAGGCCGCGTTCTTAGCTTTCAAAAATCAACTATCATGGAGATGATACTCACCGTATCTGCTCCCGCAATAAAAACTGCTCCTGCTGCCCCTTTGATATCATCAAGGGACCACTGTTGTTCCTGACCACGGGACTCATTTTCTTTATACTCACGTAGGAGGTGATGTGCTAGAGATTTGTTTCTATGACGATCATATCTGTGCTGCAGAAGGAAGTCAGTTACATGGCAAGACGTGGCATGATTCTTGAGGTGTTTTCCCGAGTCACCCACACCCTTCAACTCACGCATTCAGCTTGTGCAGCCGCGAATGGGACGTCGTGAAGCTTTTTAATAGCCCAGCGCCATTGCCGGGCGAATCGCAGGGACCAGTCGCGGACAATGCAGTCGGGGAGGTAGCGTACTAGACTGGCTCATTAGCACAATCTTCTAGAGATATCGGGTCCATCAAGTGGATATCTTGTACCGAATGGAACTAGATCAACAATACTGTTGGCAGGAACTCCACCATTGCCAGTAGCATACATGGCATCGTTGGCGATTTGGATGTAGGGGTCATCGTCCTCGAGCACTTGGGTGCCATAGCTCACTTGCAGAACGATGGCAACCGCAAGCCTGCGTAACGACGTTTCCCAAGTTTCAGGCTTCTTAAGCATATTCTGAATCGTTCGTCGGGCTTCTGTTATCTGCAGAGTGTGCCATTGGCGGACATTTGTGTTGCTGAACGAGGTCTGGAGTAACTTTCTGTGCATTTGCCAACGTTCTCCAAAAGGAAGAAAAGTCAGGGTCTTTCCCCATCCCATGCTATCTAAGGCTCAGATGAGCAAGGTATTCGGACCAAGTTTTGTTGAAGGTGCCTGAGGCACCTACCTTGTATATCAGCCGGACCTCCCGGCCCGAGACCTTAGTTAGCCACAGTCAATACATATACATCCCTCTTAACAGGTTATAAGCCCCTTACGCATATATCCGCTATATAATTAGAGGGATTTTGGCTATTACTATTAAATTCAGAAGGCAAAAATACCCTATTATAGAGGTTAAGCCGCTAAAAAACCCCCTACAGGGAGAGAATTAGGTGCCTAAAGTGCCCTATATTCCCTAAAAATAATAAAAACTAGCGTTATCCAGGCTAATAATGCCTTAATTTGCTAAAAAACAAGGTTATAACTAGTTAGGCCTAATAATAAACCTATAAATATTTATTAATAGGTATATTTTATACCTTAAACTAAACCGTTAAAGGTTATATATTAAGTAGTTACTTTATGTAAAAAGCTTAAGGCTATGTTACCTTAGTACGACTAGAAAAATTATAAAAACGCAAAAAGGTAGAATTAAACCCTAACCTTAAAGGAAAAGCAGGGCAGATTAATTCTCTAAAAGCCTAGCACTAATCGCGCCGATCCCTTACATTACCCTACTTTGTAATAGCTTTAGTTACATAGCTATTTAAGCTAAAGAAGCAAAAATCACTAATAACACTAAAACTTAAGCTTTTAATAATCTAAATAGTAAAAAATTTATAAAAAGAAATAACCTTTTTAATATATTATTAGTTATAGTAATTTATTTGCTTATTAACCTAGTACTAAAGTATTTCCTAAGTGCTTTAAGAGCTATAGCGGCCTAGTTTATATAGTTTTACTTAATAAGGAATTACTAATTCCCTAGATTAAATAGTACTATAATAACTTTAATATATTATTAAAGGTAAGATAAAAGAGTTAAGTAGTAAATATTTCCTAGTAGGGGCAGCTACCTTCTTATAATTATTAGACAGAAGGCTACTAAACTAACTTTAGACCGTTATACTACTAGCTAAATATATTACATTCTTACTTAAGGTATAGCCATATTATTATAAACTATATTCCTTTAAACTAAGGCTATTTATAATTAGTATGTAATATATTAGTAAAGGTATAAGTAAAGCAATTTATAAGAAACCTTTATAAGGAGCTATAAGCTAAGGGGTAGTAACTATAAAACCTATTTACAGAAGCATATTAAGCCAAAGAGCCTAGTACTGCAAATTCAGTGCGCCGCTACTACTAGTAAATATAAAAGTATAAAATAGTAACGAGAAAAATTATATACAGTGCAGGCTTAATTATAAAGCTTAAGGGAGCTAATAACTATAAAGAATAGTTTACCCTTATATAAATTAACTTAAAAGTAATAGGATTAAAGTACTATATTAATCCTAAAGTAATAATTACTACTAATACAGATAAGAAAGTAATAGTAAAGTTTAAACAGAAGAACTTAAATATAAAGATAATTATACTCTAGTTAATTAACTTATTAGTCCTTATAAAGCTCTAGAGATTAGGATAGTTAAGAATAAAGACTGTAAAAGAGATATAGAGATCTATTAAGGCTATAGTATAAGAAACGCTAGAGGAGGATTTTTACTAGCTTATCTTAATATTTATTAAACTAAATAGAAAGAACTTTAAATCCCTTAATAACTATATTAATAAGCTTAATAAGACCTAGAAGCAAATTATTACTAAAAAACTAATAATACCTAAAAGCGTATTATTTACAATAGCTCTTAAAGGCATTAAGAAGTCTAACTTAGACTAGTTTAATAACTAGAACTATAACATTAAGAAGGGAAAGGTTATAATAAAAAATAACTTTATAAAATACCTTAGTAGCTAAGTAAATACAGAGAAGTTACTAGAAACCTTAATAATATCTTTCTTAAAAGGTAATAAGCTAAATAAATAAAATAATAAAAAAAAAGAAAAAGAGAAAATAAATAGTAAAGATAAATCTAAGGATAATAATAAAGAAGTGCAGTGCCTGTTATACCCTAACTCTAACCATAAGGCTAAGGGGTACTAGATAACTTATCCTAAACTATAACTACTATAGGCAAGGGAAAAGAGAAGTAAGAGTCCTTAGACTAAAGGCAGCCCTAATATAATACAGGCTGGCTAATTTAAGGTAATATTAATCCTAATAATAATATATAGGAAACCAAGCGCTACTACTAATAATAATTATAATATCTTTAAGTATAACCTTATCCTAGGCATAAATACACTAAAGGAATTAACGGCACCTAAGCCTTTTAAATACTATAAGGAAAATAAGGAGGCAACCAAGTATCCTTATAAGGGTGCCTAACTATAAAAAAGAACTATAAGCATAATAGCAATTAACCCAAATATAATAAAGGATACTATAATTATAGATACTAGGTATTTAATATATAGCTTTAATAATAAAAAGTAGTTTATATACCTAGTTAGCGTGTAAAAGGAAGAGAGAATAGTAACTAGTAATGGCAGTATACTTCCTACAGAAGGCCATAGATAAGTTACTATTAATATAAACTATAGGGAACTAAGGATTAAAGCCCTATACAGTCCTAAAGCAGCTATAAATATACTTAGCCTAGAATTACTATGTAATAAAGGTATAATCCTTAATAAGAAATTAAATTAACTTATCTCCCTTAAAGGCAATAAGGCTATTACAGATATTAAGTAAAAGCAGAATATTACTATACTAAAATACTAAAAACATTAGGTATACTATAACTTCTTTATAATATTCCTAAATACTAAAAAGAAAACTATTAAATATAAACTAATATACTATAGACTTAGTTATATAAGCATAGAAAGAGTCCTATAAGCATATTATAATATAAAAATACAGATTAATATAAATACAATAAAGGACTTTTACTATAAGACCTATTAACTAGTAAAGATAAATACTATAAAAGGAAAGTTATACCTATACAGAGCGTTAAAATTCCTAAAGTATATCTTCTAAAACTTAATTAAGTATAAGCCTAAAGTATATAAAGGCTATTATTATACACTTTATAGTATTAATATATATATAGGATACTATTAGATATTCTTTCTAAAAAGGAAATTAAAGGTAATTTAATACCTTAAGGTATAGAAGAAAGGAGTTAAACTATATATAAATAGCCTTAAGGTCTAGACTATAGGCTTTAATAATACTAAAGAGTTTAAAATAAAGGAACTATAATAATAGCTAGCAAGTAAAGGAGTAATCTGTAAATACTCTACACTATATAACTTAGAGCAGAATAGGAAGATTAAATACATAGGATAACTTCTTATAGAATTAGTAAGAGCAATCTATATAAAAATAAAACTCCTAGAATTCCTCTGGCTACTATTTATAGAAGCCAGCATATATATTAACAATAAACTGCTAATAAAAGCAATACCAGGCTTTAAATCTTCCCTACAGGCAATATATAAGTTAATTAATATACTATACCAGCCGTTTTTATACTATATCTATACTTAGGAATATATAGCCTATATATATATTTTACCTAAATAAAGGGTAAGAAGTAAGAAAATAGTACTAAGAGTAAAAAAAAAGGCTTATTAAGATAGAAAGTAATTATAGTTATATCTATAAGATCTAGATACCTAAAGAATAGAAAGTAATATAAGTATATAATATATAATTCTATAAGAAATTCCTAGGGAAAGAAAACCTAACTATAAATATAAAATATAAAATAACTCTTATAAACCCTAAGATTATAAAAAAAGGATATATAATCTAGTATAATGCTATAAAGTTTATCAAAAAAATATAATAGAAACAGGGATAATAATAACCCCTAACCAGCTTAAGGTTACTGCAATAATATAAAAGGAGCCAGAAGTAACTTCCTATCGCTCCTGTAATAACTAACTATAGCTATTAACCCTTAGCTTAGTATTGTAGGGATTAAGGGAGCAGAGAAGAAGGAGAAAATTTATAGCCTAAGACCTAGTACTACTAGCCCCAGTGTCCTTAGTTATACTAATATATCTATAGAAATAACTAACCTCTAAGACTTTTAGAAAAGACTTACTAAGAATACTGCCTATAGAGAAGCTATAATAAATCTAATAAGAAGTTAATAATAGTATAGCAAACCAGTATAAGGAACTAGTAAAGTAATTCTCCTAAATACTAATACTTGACTTTAAAGAGTAATACTAAGAGAATATCCTTACAATTAACAGAGCAGAAATACTATTAGGGATACCAGGAGTATATCTAAAAACACCTTAACTAAGCCAGTATATATTATAACTAATAATAATACCAGTAAGACTAATAATTACAGTAATACTAGGAGCACCTTATGCTAAGTATATATATAATATTAATAACCTACCTCTACTAATAGATAGAGAACTTTATAGTAGTCCTTAAGACTTTTAATATAGAGTTTATAAATAAAAAAGGAAAGCAGAAATAGTTATAATATTTAGGGAATAAGATAAATTTAAAGAAAGCTAAAAGAATATATACTTTACAGTACTTACTATTAAATAAATCCTTTAACTAAAGATCCTAAAAATATAAAAAAAGGTAAGGAAGTAATATAACTATAAAGCACTCTAGTTCCTAGCTAAGCAGAAATAATATAATAGCCTTAATAATAAAAAAACCTAAATACTTATTAACTAAGAGCCCTAAATAAAAGTCCTTAATAGCAAATAGGTATATAATATTAAGAGCCTTAAAGGGGAAGATTAGTATATAAGAGTATAATAAGTTATCTAAGGAAACTAAGAGAAAGGAAATTATAATACTATTAATCTATACGTAGCAGTTATATACATTGTATCAGTATGCCTATTCCTTATAATTATAGCAATTCTTAGCTACTATATTAGATAATATAATACAGTTACTGCCTTCCTAAACTCAGAAGTTAAGAATAAGATATACATTATCTAACCTTACAGTTTTAAATAAGGAAAAGATAAGGTCTATAAGCTAAAGAAAGCTT